TAAATGGTTCAAATTTGTAAAGATACAAAAGAGTTTACTGCTGCACCATCCACCTCTTTAATTAGTTCCCAACTTGAGCATATACATTAATGTATGTTATATGTATGTGTGACGCAGTCTTTTAAGGCTTCTCTCACAGATCACCCAATTATATTTGAAAGAGGTAAAAATTGACGCACCTTGTACATTATGTGTGAAAGTTCCTATTCCTGCCCAACACTGAGCATTCGTATAATCTTTAGACAATTCAGAAAAAATGTTTTCACATTTTAATTTTAATTTATGTGATTCTTGATGTGTTGACATTCATTGTTTTGTGCGTGATGACATCTATTTATTAATGTTTGTTAGATGCATTGGGTCGGTTGTTCATTACTGTGTACTGTTTGAGGAGCCCTGATGGCTCTGTTTGGTAAGCACTGGCCTGCTAACTACAAGGTCGACTACAAGGAATTCTATTGGAAAAAGATGAGGCTTTTTGCTCCTGTAAAGATTCACAGTCTCAAAACTTTTTATAGGGCACCTCTGAGTAGAAATGGAGCCGATGGCAGTAGGTGGGTATGTACTACTTATGCAATACTTATTGTGGAGCACTTGCTGTTTGTATGGTCAATTCTCTTCACTCTGATAATGCTTTTAGAGTGGTGGTGCAGAATGAGAGACGGGAAGAGTGGACCTCACTTCTTGTGACCATTAAAAAACTCTTCATTCAGTATCCAGTACTGGTGCGACTGGAACAGGCAGGTACTGCATCCGTGTACTTGAAGATGTATGGAAAGAAGGTTTAGCTCAGGGGTTGAGTGTCAGATAGCTTCATGTTTGTTTCCCTTTCCATTGGTGTGTGTAGTTTCCGATTCTGAGCTGGGTTCTGTTAGCACATGAATTGAGTTATTATGTGTAATAAGTACAGTAGTGTCCTCGTATAAAATGAGGCCCTATAGAACCAGACGCCTTTGGCTCATTTGTTAAGTTATTTATCTTTCACGAGATGTTTTTCCTTCTATATATCTTTTGCTTCAGAGGGCTTTCCTCAAGGAGACAATTCTACCTCAGCACAAGGAAACTACCTAGAGGCCATCAATCTATCATTCAATGGTGAGTGCAGTACCAACCGCAGCTTACTACATGGCTCTGAACTTCTTTTCACTAAAACCCAAAGACCCAGATCTGACTGGTACCGTCCCACCTCTGACATCGGCCGAAATCAGTACTTTCTGATTGGCTCGCTCTCATGATCAGCATTTAGTGCTTTGATTTGTGTTGGAAAATTAACTTACTGTTCTCTCCTGCTTCTCATGGAACCTAAGAGTAAAGAGCTAGAAGCCATCTTACTTGGGGTGTTGACTTTACTGAGAACAGAATCTTTATTTTTTATCCCCTGTACGCTCCAAGTATTTCTGAGTAGTTTATTAGAATTCAGGTAACAGGTTTATCAAATAAAAAGTGCATTTTCCCTCCATTTTCCTTACCTTTTCCAGAGGGACTATTGTGGTATGATTTTTTTTTCTTCGTTTGACTATTTCTGTCTTTATGTGGGTAATACTTTTAATTGTAAACCTGAAACCTGTAAACAGAAACCTGCTGTGTTGGCACAAAAAAGGAAATTTACTCTAAAGGGACTGGGTTTGGTGAGGCAGCCAAGACAACTTGACTGTCAACTTGGAGAAGGATGGGGACAGACGGTTCTGGGAAACACAGTGTCAAGAATTCCCAGAATAGTAGTCAGCTTCCAGATGCTTTCTCCCTGCTCTTTATTCCTTGTGGAGTCTGATTGGCCCCACTAGGTGCAGTGTCTGTCCAGCCCTGGCCAGAGATGGATTAGCCATGCCACTGTGTGCTGAGGAGTCTGGAGCACAGGTCATCTATCTTTTTAGTAGATATTTTTGGTCATACTTGAATATCACTGACTATCCAGAATGAGAATTTCATGGCCCAGGAATAAAATTTACCTTGCCAAATTTATAAAGTCATCTGAAAATTCTGGTCCCTTCTGTTAAAGGTTGTCTTACAGTAGTATTTGAGTCTTGTAAGTTTCAGTGTGGATTAATGTGTGGCTAGTTTAAATTAACCGAATGAAATCTAAGCATGTAGAGCTGCACAAGGCAAGTACCAGGCATTAATGAGGAGTATTAGCAAAGGTGACAGTGTTATATGTCTGTGTTCAAGCAGTTCTCAGAATTGAAGGGAGAAAGAGAGACATGCTTATAACTTGCTAGAATTCAGGTCAGAATATATCAGTCACTCTGAAATAGAGATACAATTATCCAGATGCACAAAGGTGTCTGCTAGAGATTGCTTTCCAAAAATTTTGAAGTGTCTTCATTGGAGAAATTTTGTTCTTTTTAAGTGTTTGACAAGCATTACATCAACCGCAACTTTGACCGGACGGGGCAGATGTCTGTGGTGATTACACCCGGAGTGGGTGTGTTTGAAGTAGATCGCTTACTCATGATCTTGACCAAGCAGCGGATGATAGATAACGGTAATGCTCCCTGGTTCGTGTTCTGTCTCTCTGTGTCACAAGTTCTGAGGGTGTGAGTAGCTGTTGGCTGAATAGGAAGACATCCCTGGCTAAACAATTTGTTCCATAATTGTAGGTTGTCCTCGGAATTTTTTATATATTCGTGTGTCTTGATTATATCTAATGTGGGTCTCTGATACTCTGGAGTTGCCCAAACATATTTGCCACTCCAATCAAAACCCACTGCTACTTAATTGATTCCAACTCATAGCAACTCTATGTAGGGTTTTCAAGACTGTACATCTTTATAGGAGCAAACAGCCTCATCTTTTACCTATGGAGTGGTTGATGTGAAAAATTGATCTTGCTGTTCACAGTCCTACACCCTTACCCAAAGGGCCTCCAAGGTTTTTATTCACTGCTGGAGAACCCATTTGGGGGGGTACTGTTTTAAGGGACCAGTGTGTTTTCAATCCATCTTGGGCAGCACCAACTGGACAACCTAGTCCATGCCTCTCTCTGTGCTGTACTGTGCTTCCCACCCCTACCTTCCCGTATATGATTGTGTTTCGTCAGCATGATGGAGCTGGGGAAGTAAGTTCTGACTACAAGTGAAGCGATAGGGATTGTTTTGCTTTTTGCTATGAGATTATAGCTCTTTGGTCTGCTGAGCACAGCGTCCGTAGTTGGAACCCACGAGCCATTCCATGGGAGAAAATTGAGACTGTTTTCTGCAGTTACGATTTACAGCCTCGGAAATCCTACAGAGCCTTTTTACTCTGTCCAATACGTTGAAATCAACCCAATTGTGAATTTTTTTCTTTCTGGTCATGAAACTTTATTAATCGACACTTGGTTGTCTTTATCTTTTAAATTGTCACTTAGCAGGTAGACAAAGGCAAATTGTCAAACACTGAATAGTGGTAAATATGACAACTCATTGGTAACGAGGAAACAGTAAAAGAATGCATCAGTGTATTTCTTTCTGATGTCCTCACTAATGCTAGGTTATTAATTGTATAATGATATGTGGGCTTTCCTTCTTACTCTGGCCCACTTAAATACCATCATGAATAGAGATTGGGATACTAATCTCAGCCTTTTCCCTCCCCACAACTCTTGTTGTCTTTTCTTTTTATAGGAATTGGTGTGGACTTAGTATGTATGGGAGAGCAACCGTTACACGCTGTTCCATTGTTCAAGGTGATTCGATTTTGCTTTGTTGACTGAGGCCAGTTTTAAGCACTGGGTGATTAGCTGCCACCTGGTTGCTTTGAATCATGGCGGCCCCATTGAGCACAACAGAAGGAGCCCATGCTGCCCAGTCCTGCACCCATCCCCAGGGGTGTTTGCAAATCCGACCTTTTTTGTTACATAGGATTTTCACGGACTGTTTTTCTGACATAGATAGTCAGGCCTCTCTTTTTAGTCTGCCTAACTCTGGAAGCTAAGCTGAAACCTCTTCAGCATCCTAACAACCCCGAAGCCTTCCATGGGAGATGGGTTATAGAAATCAAACCTCAGTCTCCTTCATGGAAGGCAGTCACCAATGTTGCAAGGTAATTTTAAAAATAGTTAGAAACAGGAGAGTTGGAATGGTTGCATACCTAATACACAAGGTAAGCATGAACTTTCTTGTGCTTACTTACTAAGCTGTACTGAACAATTACAGATGTTTTTCACCACCTCAGAGATTCTGTTTCTAGGTGTGCCTGTTACCCGTTCCCTCCCAACCTTATAGAACCTTTCTATAGAATCAAAGCCTCTTTTCCAGTTTTCAATCCCTGACACGGATTGCTTACCCAGTAAGCAAGGTATTTACTAATCTGTAGTTAACAGTTTAACATGGTGGTGTGGTGAAAAACATGTGGAAATGTTTATACTACAGGTTATTAATTAAGCACACGTGAGCCCATGCTTACCTTGCTTATTAGGAAATCTACCCCTGGGCTGATCAGTGTCCTTGTTTTCCGTTCAGCTCCATAATCGGAGTGTTCCTCGGGACTCTCGTCTGGGTGATGACTATAATATTCCTCACTGGATAAACCACAGGTGAGTGCCGTTTTGATTAATGGTAGGTGAGCAAGGTGTGGAATAACTTCCTTTCATTTCCCCTGCAGGTCTGTTGTGTTCTTAATATGGCGCTACATCTTTAGTTTAAAACTGCAGAAGTTTAATTGCTAGCATTTGCTTATGGATTTTCTGTGTGCAGAATTGGTGTTGTTAGGTGCTCTCTGAGTCCCTTCAGATTCTCTGTGATTCTCTGTACACAGAATGGACCACCTCCTGGCCCTGAGCCAGCCTCAAAACTATTCTCATGTTTGAGTCCATTGGGGAAGCCACTGTGTTGATCCATCTCACTGAGAGCCTTCCTCTTTTTTGCTACTCTGACTTTACGAAGCATGATTCCTTCTCCGGGAATTGATCTCTCCTGGCATGTCCAAAGTATGTGAGACAAAGTCTCCCTATCCTTGCCTCTAAGGAGCATTCTGGCCGTACTTCCAAGACAGTTCATTTTTCTCTTTTGGTAGTCTATGGTACTTTCAGTATTCTTTGCCAGTACTGTAGTTCAAATTCATTGGGTTTTCTCTGTCTTCTTTATTCAATGTCCAATTCAAAGTCCATACATAAGGGCAATTGAACATACTATGGTTTGGGTCAAGCATATTTAGTCTTCAAAGTAGCCCTCTTGCTTTTCAATACTTTAAAGTGGTCTTGGGAAGCAGATTTACCTAATGCAATTTGTTATTTGATCATGACTACTACTTCTATGAGTATTGATTGTTTATCCATGCAAGTGAAATCCTTGACAGCTTCCATCTCTTCTCTGTTTATCATGATGATGCCTATTGGTCAAGTTGTGAGGATTTTGATTTTCTTTACATTGATTTATTATCCGTATTGAAGGTTGCAATCCCTGATCAAGGTTGTGTCATCTACATATTGTAGATTATTAATAAGCCTTCCTCCAATCATGATACCATATTCTTCTTCATATAATCCAGCAAGCATCTTGGATTATTTGCTCTGCATGCAGATTGAGTAAGTATGGTGAGAGGACACAGCCCTGATGTACCATACACCTTTCCTGATGCCAGACCATGCAGTATTCCTTTGTTCTGTTTGCACAACTGCCTCTTGATCCATGCACAGGCTCCACATGAGCACAACCCAGTGTTCTTGAATTCCCATGCTTCTTACAGTTCCACACAATTGAATGCACTGACATAGTCAGTGAAACACAAGAAAACATCTTTCTGGTATTCTCTTCTTTCAGCCAAGGTTCATCGAACATCAGAAATGAGATCCCTTGCTCCATATTCTCTTCTGAATCCAGGCTGAACCCTGTCCATGTACTACTGCATTCATTGTTGCATGATTTTCAGCAAAACTTTCCTTGCATATGATATTAATGATATTTTTGACGATTTCCACATTCTATTGGGTCAACATTCTTTGGAATGGATACAAATATAGATTTCTTCCAGTCAATTGGCCAAGTAACTGTCTTCCAAATTCCTTGGCATAGACTAAGTGCTTCTACTGCTTCATTCTCTTGTTGAAACATTCCAATTGGTATTCCATCAATTCCTATTCCGGGAGCTTTGTTTTTAAGTGATGCTTTCAGTATAGCTTGGACTTCTTCCTTCAGTACCATGAGTCCTTGCTCATGTGATACCTCTTGAAATGGTTGAATGCTGACAAAGTTCCCTTTGGTACAGTGACCGTGAGTTCTTTTCATCTTCTTTGGATACTTCATGATGGTTCATCGAATATGTAGTCCATAGAATCTTTCGATACTGCAACTCAAGGCGTGATTTTTTTTCTTGGGTTCTTTCCGTTTCTGATATGCTGAGCGTGCTCTTTCCTTTTGGTTGTCCACCTGTGCATCTGTGCACAATTCATTATACGATGTGGCTTTGTCTTCTCGAGCTTCTCTGTTCATCTCTGTTGCTTCTTCGTTGCTTTTGTGTGCCCTAGCTGCTCTGTGATTGCAGGCAAGGTTCAGAGTGTCTTCTGACACCCAGGCTGACCTTTTCATTCCTGTCTCTTTAATGACCTTTCGCTTTCTTCATGTATGCATTGTAGTCCTTCTTCAAAAATCAGTTGTGTGTAGGTATATAGATTTATTCCTGAGTTTTCTATTCCGCTCCATTGGTCTCCGTAACTGTGGTACCAGTACCAAGCTGTTTTAATGACTGTGGCTGTGTAGTAGCGTTTGAGGTCTGTAAATGAGAGGCCACATACTTTATTCTTCTTCCTTGTTTTATTATTTTTTTCACAGTTTTATTGACTATATCACGCACCGGACAATGTTTTGAATTCATGATTTGATTATATTAAGAAGAGTTGTGCAGTTATCACCACATTTTTGTACACAGTGTTATTAGCTCCTCATTTACTCCTAATTCCCAACCTTCCCTAAGAAACGGTTATTCTGGTTACTGTCTCTAGATTTACCTAATTTGGATTTCATATAATGTTGTTCTTCTTTAGTAGTAATTATCCTGGGTGTCTTTCCTTTCCATATACAGTTGGTAATTAGTTTTTCTATTTATTTAAAGAATGAATTGGTATCTGTATCATATTGCATTATATTTACAAATTATTTGGGGGTAGTATTGGAGCTCTGGTAGTGTAGTAGTTATGAGTTGGGCTGCTAACACAAGGTCAGTAGTTCAAAACCACCTACTGCTCCATGTTGAGAAAGACAATACCTTCTACTCTTGTAAAGAGTTACCCTCTTGGAAACTCACAGTACAGCCCTATCCTGTCCTGTAGGGTCATTATGAGTCAAAATCGACTCGATGGCAGTGCATTTAGTTTTGGGTAGGATTGACATTTTCACAGTATTAAGTCCTCCCAGCCATGAATATGGAACAATCTTCTATTTATGTAGATATCTTGGTTTCTTGTAGAAGTGTTTTATAGTTTACTTTGTACAAGTGTTTCTTTACTCCTCTGGTTAGGATTATTCCTGTTATATTTTGTGTGACTCTTATATATGGTATTGTTTTCTTGATTTTCTTCCTTTTCAGAGCTGTCTTTGTTAGTGTGCAGGACATTTTCTGTATGTTGTTCTTGTACCCTGCCATGTTTCCCAAGCTTTTGATTGTTTCCAACATTTTTTTTCTCCAGTCATAGGGATTTTCTATGTATAGAATCACATCATCAGCAAATTAGAGAGTTTTTCTTCTTTACCAATTTGGGTACCTTTGATTTCATTTGATTTTCCTTAGCTCTGGCTAAGACTTCCAGCACAATACTGAGTAAGAGTGGTGATTAAAGGTATATTTATCTGGTTTCTGTTCATAGGGAGAATGCTTTTACTGTCTGATCATTGTGCGAGATTGTTGGCTGTTGAGTTTCTGTATACGGCCTTCATTGTGTTGCCAGATTTCCCTTCTGTTCCTGTTTGGCTAAGAGTTTTAGTCAGGAGTGATTTTTGAACTTCTATCAAGTATCTTTTCTGCATCAATTGACCTAATCATAAATTTTTATCTTTTTGTTTATTTAGTGGTTTATGTTATTTGTCTAATTTGAACCATCCTTGCATACCTAATATGAATCCTACTTGATCATGATGATGATCATAATCTTTTGATATATTGTTGAATTCAATTGACCAGGATTTTGTTGAGAATATTTGCATTTATGTTTATAAGGTATAGTGGCTGTAACTTTCTATGCTGGTAATATCTTTGCCTAGTTTTCTATCAGGGTTATATTCACCTTATAAAATGAGTTGAGAGTTTGCTGTTCTATATTCTGAAACATGATGTGAAGAGGACTGAAAGATCAAATGCTTTGTTACATATTTATGTGTGTGTGTACATACATACATCCCACTTATACATAGACAAGCTAGAGGATGGGTCCACAAGTAAGGGGCTTTGTTTCTGAGGAGTAGGTGTGCTTAAGGCCTGCTTTCCTTCTTCGTTGTCCTCCGTGTTGCTAGCCTCTCATGGATGGGGACAAGAAGCCTCTTTGTCCGATTGTTCTCATCCTGTCAGCAAAGCAACTCCTGAAGTTCAAAGTGCCTCACTAGAGTAAGACCACCCACCTGATAAGCATAGTCGTCTTCAGTGAGAACTAAAGTGTTACTTTAGGCTTAAAACAGCAATAATGAAAATTGTTTTTAAAAGTAAATTCGTATCAAATAAATAAGAATTATACAACTGGGTTTGTGAGATATTATAAGATATAAGTTACACTATGTTGGAGATAATATAGCTCAGGCAGTTACATTGTACCTGTGAAGAAACTGAGATCCAAAAAGGTTAAGTGGCTTGCCGTGGGCTTATGACCAAACCAAATAAAAAATGAAAATCACTGTCTCTAGTGACCCTACAAGGCAGAGGTGAACGCCCTCATATGTGAGAGGCTGAAAATCTTTATGGGATCAGACAGCCGCCTCCTTCTCCCGTGCAGTGACTGGTACGTTTGAATTGCTTACCTTGAGGTAAACAGTCCCATGTGTAATCCACTCTGCCACCCGGACTCCTTTTAAGTTAATGACAGAGTAGCAGTTTCTCATTTAAACTACTGAAATACACAAGTATTTTTGACATTTTAAAGACACTGTTTCATATGATTCAATCTACAATAGAAACACTACTTTGCAGCCAGATCTTTTCCAGTTAATGCTTGGAAAGAGAGTAGCATCCCTCTGCAAGTTCTTTCTTTGGTGCCACCGTCATCCTGGTACCAGCCATCATCCTAGGGCTGGTTGAACGAGGCCCGTTCTGGTAGGACTTTGACTGTGGGCAATATGACTGTGTTCTTTTGTGCTTGTGACAGTAGGATTACCCCACTGTCTACTGGTAATTGTTACTGTCTTTTTTTGTTTGTGTGTTTGTTTTGTTTTTTTAGTGTTCAGAGTTTTGACTTGGATGCTGGAGATAGATCAGGCAAATTTTCAAAACATCTTTACTACAAATTGATTCTAGGTGATGTGAAAAGGGGAATAGAGAGAGGTTGGAGCCTCTGTTTTACACAGCCTTTGTTCACTCATTCGTTCAATATAGTCAGTGGTTTTCTTGTATTAGATACCTGGTCTGAGTATATTGAAGGTTTGATTTTCAGAGGGGTTGGAAGTTAATGAGTTTTGCCATCTTGTCTTCAGTACAAATCATTTCCCTTTTTGGTTTGGGTTAATTAATCAGTGATTAAGGAGTCTCCCTTTATCAAGCTTTTTGTCATATGTTGTCACTAGCTGCTATCAACTCTGACTCATGGCAAAATATTGGGACAAAATGTTGCCTGATCCTTTATTATCCTTATCAGCAGCATGTTTGAACTCATTATTGTGACCATTGTGCCAAACTATCTTATCAAGACTCTCCCATGCTTTCACCAAATACAGTATTCCTCTCCATCCCTTGATCATTCCTGCTGACTTGTCCATAGTAAGGAAATCAAAAGTGTTCTGTTGTGATCCCTAAAGCTTTCAAAATACTGGTGGCATAGCTTGAGCATCGTAGCAGCACACGAGCCACCAACATGGCAAATAGCAAGGTAAAATAAATTTGGTGTAACTAGATTAAGTCCCTACTGCAAAGAGGAAATTCTAGTCTAGTTCGTAATTTGAACTATCCAATATATGGTAATTTATGCAGGGCTGGGTGGGGGTGGAGGTGGAAAACAAGAATAAAAATATAATAATGTTTGGCAGCAATTGCAGAAGAAGTTAAGTTATTGAATCATCAGCGAAGCCTGAAACAAGGCAAGGATGTCAACTGTCTTGAGGCTTAAAATGAAAGAGAATTTAATTAATGACCTCGTTTGTTTCTTTTACAGTTTTTACACATCTAAAAGCCAGCTCTTTTGTAACACTTTTACTCCACGAATAAAACTGGCAGGAAAGAAGGTAAGTTTCACCCATTTTCCAGGGATACTTTTGTGCTGAGATATTATCCTTACCCACTCCAGTTATGAGTAGAATTGGGGTCTGCCCTGTCAGGGCTGGTTTATCTTCTTGAATATGTATCTCATCCCTCATGGGGTTAGGGGAAGTTTTCTTCCATTGACTCTTCTCAGTTTTCTCTCTGTTTTTTTTTTCTTCTTCTTCTTACCTCTTCAGGAATCCCAGTCTCACCTGTTAGTTCTTTTGATGGTGTTTCACTATCTCAGGCTTTCTTTGGAATTTTTTGTTATTTTTTTCCGATTGTCTTATATTCATGATCATCAATTCATGTTTCCATTGGTTTAGTTCCACTCCTTTTGCTGTATTAATTATTTCTTAAATCTTAATATTCCGGATTTATATTCACTGTTTTTGTACGTTTTTTTATTTTTCATTAATTTTATCCGTTTGCTTTTGTAGTGTTTTCTTTGATTTTTCTCAGGGTTTTTTCCCCTGTGTTTTTCTTGATTCATCTGCAGCTTTATTAATTTTTCTCTCAACCCATTGTAAGTCCCTAACTATTCTTTTGAATTCCTTATCCAGTAATTCTAATGCCATTTTTGTTCCTCCAAAAGGTTTTTGGCTCTGTATTTTTACCACTCATTTGTACTGAATTTGTCTCTCTCTCTCTCTTTTTTTAAGACAATGTGGTTTCATAGTTGTGTTTAATTGATGATTGTAGGTTAATGTATTCTGAGGCACATACCACTCGTGTCCTAGAGCAGGTGATAGACTGTGGTGAAATGTGTTTCTGTTCATGTAGCACATTTGGGGGCACAGTTTGGCTGGTGTTGGTCCCTGCCTATTGAGGCTCAGATGATAAGAGGAGCAGCCAGTGTCCTTGCTCCTAGGATGGGGCTGTAGGTGTGGGTGGGGTATGTGGGCATGCCTGCTGCCTCCCGTCATCTGGGACATCAACACGCAGGGCAAAGCATGCAAAATGCTGCCAGCAAAAAACAACTTGAGCCATAAAAGAGAAAAAATTAAAACAAGAGAATAGAAAAAAGTAACAAGAAATAATGTTTTAGTTTGGGTACTTTAGAGAAACAAATCCACAGAAACTCATGTAGAAGAGAGAATTTTAGGTTAAGTGCGCATTAAGAAAACATCCCAACCCAGTGCTGCCCAAGCCCACAAGTCCAACATTAACCCATTTGTCCAACACCAATCCACATCCTCCATCTCACAAAGCAGACGCAATGATGCCGACTGCAGGAGGAAAGCTGAGTCAGTGAACGTGTAAGCATCTCAGCGCTGGCAGGGGTCTCCACACGGCTGCTCCAGCACCCAGGGCTGCATCGGGGCAGGTCCATGTAGCTTCTCCTGAGGGATGTCTTGCAGGAAGAAAGCACGAGACCTGAGAACTAGAAATGAGAGGCTCACCGAGCCATTTATCCCTCTGCCCTTCAATTAACCCCACATGTGTTTACCGGCCAGGTTGGCACAATGAACTAACTACCTCAAAATGCAATAAGCAAAAGTAGGGAAGGTGGAGAAAGAAAAGAGAATAGTTAGCAAAAATTCAAGAAAAGGAACGGAAGAAAAGAATGTAATGAAATAAGTAGAGAAAGAAAGAGTGAAAAATCAGGGAAGGGAGAGAAAAGAAAGTCTGAAAACCGGGGCAGGGGCAGGATTGAGAAAGGAAAACTGTAGGGGACCGGGCCACGGGAGCTCACATTGTGGGAGGTTGAATCCCTAGTCTTAGATGCACTTTCTGCTGGCCTAGGTGCTGTATGGGGTCAGGGCACCTGATCCAGAAGTAGTTTGTACTGGCTCAGGTGGCACGTGAGGTTATTCCAGGCAGGAACTTTTTCTGGCCCAGAGGGCAGCTGAGGGCACGGTGGCTGATATGGAAGGAGTTTCTGCCTACTCAAGGATGAACAGGGACCTCTCATGGTACATTCTGGTAGTCTAAGGTGACCAGATTTAAAGCGGGACACCATTGAGGGAGTGGGGGGTTCTTGATTAAAAATTTGGTCTATATGGACCAAATAGACTGTTCCCTAGCTTGTCATGCATTCTTTCCAAAAATTGGGACTTTTTTAAAACGCCAAAAATTGAGACTGTCCCGCCAAAAGCAAGACGTCTGGTCACCTTATGATGGTCTGATGAGGCAGGGATCACTTGCCTCCAGATTTGGGGGTGGTGTGCCAGAAACCCAATCTATTATGGTGCAGCTCTTGTATCGGGCAGAGCAGGGACAACACTGGGGGATGCAAGTGTGTATCATTGGCCAGTGGGTGGTTGGGACAGCATGCAGATTGTCTATGCTTCCAGTCACTAGGACTAGAGTGTGGGGAATAAGGGAAGGATTGCCCACTTCTAGTGAACAGCCGTGTGTGTGTGTGTGTGTGTGTGTGTGTGTGTGTGTGTGTGTGTGTGCTGTCTTCATTAGGTGCTCCTTGCAGAACTTCAGGATGAATGTGCTATGTCAAGCCAGCCAACACTTTACCAGTCTGCCTCTTGCTGTTTTAGCTCCGGTTCTTCTTCTAGTTGGTATTGAATCCACTTTTCTATCCTATCCTCTAACACTCAGGGTTCCAGAATTACCATCTGTATCTATTTCATCTTATCATTTCTCTACTGTAGAGGATCAGTATAGGATGTAGTCCGCCAACTCTGATCTTTCCAGAAGCCCAACACAATCCCTGTAATGAGAAAAAGATGACTATTGTTCGAGGACCCTGGAGGACTATGAGTAGACTTTTTCCGTCGGGTTTCCTAGGCTATAATCTTTATAGAATAGTCCACCACATATTTCTTCTATGCAGTAGTCAGTGGGGGTCAAAGCACTGATCTTCCATTTATCAGCCAATTGGACTAGCCACTGCATCACTGGTACTCCTTATGGGAGGGTTAAAGGTCCTGAAAAAAAGAGTTCTTTTAAAAAAATTACTTGTTTCAGTTTTCATGCCACCTTTCTGTTCCATTTCAGCAAATTGGGCATTCCACCGAGAGGTCACCTTCAGCTGGTGTAGGCAGAGTAGTGAAAATGCATGCAAAGTGTGAGGCCAGATGGGACCTGGCCACGTTAGAACAAATTCAACAGTGGATTCAGCAAAGTCTGAAGAATTGTACTGAGCTAGGGCTCTGTCACCTCTGGGTTGTATCCCTTTGGGCAAGTCTTTTATTTGCTCTAGAATTGAATGTCTTTGCCTGTAACGGATGCTCCCTGCCAGTTGCCTAGTGGATAGGGTTGTGAGATGCATACGATTTGAGGTGGAAGTCAAGGCCCTCATAGAGCCCCGTACTATGGTAGCTATCCTATGTGAGCTTCCTTTCTCAGATCCACCGTGTGGCTTTCGAAATGTTTCTCCCTGTGCTTTTGATAAATGGCATTCTAGCAGTGGAGTGATTATGTATCTATTTAATTTTACAGTGTGCTTCTGAGAAAGCAAAGAATGGCCGTGATACTTGTGAGTATTTTTTGAAACCTTTCGTTGCTTTTAAAAAGAGTTTGGTCACAAAAGTATATGAGGGTACATAAAGATAATTCATAGCAAATTCCTAATTCTCCTAGATTCTTTAACCACCTTATAATCTTGTCCCATTAACTGTGAAATGGATGATGACAAGACTTTTTAATTTTTTTGCAGAGGTCAGTGTTAGGGATCGGGGAGCTAGTTGGAAAAATTGAGATGATATTTTAAAATCAGGATCACAGAAGAATGAAACAATCCAAACACTTTGCCTTTATTGAATGCCATACTATTTCTGTATCTTATGTAGGACTCATTTAATCTCAACAACTTGAGGAATAAGTGATTGTCCCTTTGAGGAGGGGAAAGGGGAGATGATGATGATGATGATGATGATGATGATCTGAACTTTGCAGGTTTGGGGGAAGACCCCCTGAAAGCACCTGTTTGAAATGTAGCTCGCTGACAATTCGCATTATTGTATTTCAGCTCTGGGGACTCCCAAAGAGGCTGAGAACGCGCTTCCCATCCAAGTAGATTATGATGCCTACGACGCCCGAGTGTTCAGGCTGCCAGGCCCAGCCCGGGCACAGCGCCTCGCCACTTGCAGGTTTTCTCTCACATTCATTTTGGGATGAAGGTGCAATTGCTTAGGAGATCAGGAGGAGACCTGCAATCCAGTAGGAACCTTCATAAAAACTGAAGTGTGAGACCGATGACTGTAAGGCTTGCAGAAGGAGACATTGGGTAATGCTTTGGAACCATGATTCTTAGATGAGAGGCCAAGAACACAAGCAGTAAAAGACAGAATAGATATATGGAGTACATCAAAACTGTTGTGCACCACAGAACTTTATCAGCAAAGTGATGAGATAACCTACTGATTGGGAGATAATTTTGTGGAAACATATATTTGTTATCCAATTTGATGGCAATGGATAGGGCCCTTAACCCACGCTGATGGAATCGATTCCAACTGATAGTGACTCTGTAGGACAGAGTAGAATTGCCCTCTGAAGTCGTTAGAGAAGCAGAAGGCCTCATCATTTTCCCTGGGAGTGGCTGGTAGGTTTGGGTTGCTGACTTTGTGGTTTGTAGCCCAACTCATAACCCATTATGGCACCGGGACCCTGAACAATCTTAAAGCTATTTTACATTAAAATTTACCAAATGGGCCCCATCTCATTATAGATCACTAGGAGGCCTGCCTCTTGGGCACAGCCATTTTGTTTGGCTCTGATGTATTGTCTCAAAATAAGAGTTACTATGTTTTGCTACTTTGGGAGAAGCAGGTCACAAATGACAGAATCTGTCTCTTACCAGACTTACCCAGAGATCCTAGATCTTAGATCCAGAGGTTTTTAATTTATTTTTTATTATTATTTCCAATGAGCAAGAGACTTTTCTTTCTTTTTCTTTTTTAATTTTACTTTATTGGGGCTCTTACAGCTCTTATCACAATCCATACATCTATCCATTTTTGTCACACACATCTGTACATATGTTGTCATCATCTTTTCCAAAACATTTTCTTTCTACTTGAGCCCCTGGCATCAGCTCCTCATTTTCCCCCCTCCCTCCCCCACGTCCCCTTGATAATTTATAAATTTTTTTTTTTCATGCCTTACTCCGACTGCTGTCTCATTTCACCCACTTTTCTGCTGCCCATCCCCCTGGGATGGGGGCCATATATCAATCATTGTGACTGGTTCCCCCTTAACCCCACCCCCCAAAAAAACCCACACCCTTACCTTCCTAGTATCGCTGCTCCCCTTATTGGTCCTAAGGGGCTTATCTGTTCTAGAGTCCCTGTGTTATGAGCTCTTATCTTTTCTTTCTTTAATGAGCTGATAGTAATCACATGATTATTTTCTATCTGTCACCCCCTTCCCATCCTAATGTTCCTCCTGAGAATGCTTGGACTCAGAATAACTGCTACTGACAGCAGTGCCCCTCAACATGGATGCCATTAGAATCTAAGTAGTGCTTACCTCTGAGCATTTGAAAACATTCCTGCCGCCCTGGCCTTGTGTTTTCTCATCAAAGATGGCAAGGCTTGGTGTTTCAGAGACTCAGGTCGCATGTTCCTCGAAGGCACAGCCTGGCTCTTAGTTGGTGCTCTGTCCTCACCCAAGTCTGAGCCTGTAATTGGTGCTCAGATGTTTATTATTGAAATAATCCACTTGGGATCTGTTTCCAGCGTCTGTCTCAGGCAAGCACAGTGAAACAGGAGGACAACGGCCAGCGCTGATGTTAGAAGGTCATCCCCCCCAGCAGAGGCTGACTCTCATTCTGAAGTGTCACCTCCTCGTTGGGCTTTTCTTCTTTTGAGCCCTCCTGCTGCTTCCAGAGACTAGACTTCAACTTTTATTAAGGCTAAATTTAAACATGCACAAATGGAGTGTTGCCAGGCTTGTTGCATCACCTCTCCCGCTTTTTAAATTTTAGCTGGAATATTGTGAAACAAAAGGAGCCTGGTGGTGCACTGGGGACATGCTGGGCTACACTCCGCATTGTCGGCAGTTCAAAACCACCATCAGCTCCTCAGGAGAAGACTGGCCTTTCTACTCCTGTAAATAGTTACAGTCTCTTAGACTCACAGGGTCGCTGTGATTCACCATTGACTCCATGGCACTGAGTTTGGTTTTGAGTTTTGGTTTATTGTGAAACAAATACCCAAGCAGCTTACTTTGAGTTTTCTATACATAAGTATGTAATGACAACAAATATGAACTTTAAAAATACCTGTATTAGCAGAGTATCTTTATCATTAGGAATGAAATTAGAGTGAGTTTTGTGATTTAATCAGATAGCCAGTTCCACGTTCACATTTTCCGCTTTTCTCCAAGGGGCTATCGTGTGAATTGGGGTCTCTACCAAACCCATGCCCTGCACTGGGTTGTAATGCCTCTCGTTTTCACGGCAGCTGAGTGTCTTGCTTTTCTGGTGTTGCTGATTGTTTCATTGTGGCATTGAACATGTCCTCTGCTTAATGAATTTCCTGTGAACCGGCCAATTAACTCAAGACTGAATCAGGTTTAAGTTCAGTTTTGGGGACAAGACTCAGGCGGCCTTGTGTTGCATACTTTTTATGGCATCACCTTGTGTCCTCCCTGGTGACGCGTTTGTGGGCGTGCCCAGATTGACCCATGGGGTTAGGTGGCATCTTACGATGCTATCACTGCCTCACTGGTACGATCCCAGGACTCTGGCTCTTGGAGAATTTTCAGTCACTTCCCCTCATTTTACACCACCTGTCAGGTTGCTCCCGGCAAGTACACTTAGATTATTTCCCATTGATAGGTCTTGAATGGGAGTCTTTGTTATGGGTTTCCCAGATAGCTCGTGCTTTCCTGCTAGATCAGAGGTTCTCAACCTGCGGGTTGCGACCCCTTTGAGGGTTGGAATGGCCCTTTCACAGGGGTCGCCCGATTCATAACAGTAGCAAAATTACAGTGATGAAGTTTATGAATGAAATGAAAATAATGTTATGGTTGGGGGACCCCACCACAGGAGGACCTGTCTGAAAGCGGCGCAGCATTAGGAAGGCTGAGAACCGCTGTGCCAGCTGGACCAGCATCCATGGCTCTGTGCTGTTTATCTTTTGCCGCGCAGGTCTGTGAGAGAGCGGGAGAGCCACAGTCGAAAGAGTGGCAGCTTCTGCGATGTCTCCTCCAGCCCCTCCATGCTGAGCCGGGCATTGCCTGCCGAGGAAGTGCGCAGCCAGACCTCTGACGACAGCTCTCTGGGCAGGAGCGCCAATATCCTGATGATCCCACACTCCCATCTGCACCAGTATGAAGTCAGCAGTTCTTTGGGCTACACCAGCACTCGAGGTCAGATGGCTGAAACCTAGGCGGTGCTGGACAAGCTGGAGAGCTTTCCTTCTTTGATGGGCCTTATAGGGGGCAGTAGTTAGTGTGGGCTGTCCATTCCCCATGTTAACTACTTCCATGCCAGCACAATAGGTGGGCGTGGAGGGGATGAGTTGCCTTAGTTGTCGGTGTGGGTGCTGTGCCATTTTTGTTGCTCTCCTTTCTTTCTCATCTTCATAACTACGTACTACCTTTCCCTGGCGTTCATGTAGCTCTTGTCTTTGGTGTGTGCAGTGTGGGGGTGGGTGCCGTCCTCGCAGCAACAGCCCTGTTGTAAGATATCTCCTAGCCGTTAACTGCCGGTTGGCATGTCGGCTCTAGGACTTGCCCAGTGCTGCTCTTCCACTGGTGTGTTGGACCCATCCAGCAGCAGCTGCGCTTAGTCTGCAGGCCCCTCTTGACTTTATTTTAAACTTTTTCTTTGGACAGTTTTGGATTCCTAGGAAGTAAGGTTCTTCCCCCCCCCCCCCCCCCCCAAAAAAAAAAAGAAGTACAGGATGGTTCTGTGTACCCTTCACTCATTTTCCTCAGTGTTGATGGTTTCCATAGCTACAGCACAGTATCAAAACCAGGGAAATTCACCGAGTATCTCTAGGCTTCCCTTGTGTGTGTATATTTCTGGGTAGTCTTCGCACATTTGTGTCACTCGCACACAGTGACTGACTACACAGAACTGTTCCATCACCGCCAGGCTCTCTCTTGTCAGCAGCCTCCCCCCCGCCCCTGTTATGGCCAGACCTTGCCCCTCGTCCCTCTTGCTCTATAATGTAGTTATTTCAAGAATGTTACATAAATAAAAGCATGCCCTTCCTGACTTGATCATCAACTTAGGAATGTTGGGTACACAAAGCTGCCTGCTCTTGCCCTGGAAGGACTCCCAGAGGGCCAAGAATGTTTTCATGACCCAGCATGCTAATGGGGGTGCTGCCAGCTCCAGGAGCCTCTGGGCTGGAGCACAGGGCACTTTCATCCATGAGACACCACGGGCCTGTGGGAACTTACGAGTGCTGAGAAACTATTTCTCCCAAATAGTTTAAATAGAAAAGGGATTCTGAAAGAGAAAGTAGCATCTGCTTAATTAAAGGGCCGTACAATATAACCTTATGTCACCTCCATTAAGTTTAGTTTTCAAAAGATTTTTGATAGATTACAAAAGGTCTAAGTTACATTTTCCCTATTTTAGGAAATTTCTAAGTTTGTATGACAGATAATCTTATTTTCATGAAAATATGCTTCATCCATAGCTATAGGTCAATGAAATCAAGCACCACCACCGTCATCGTCTGCCCTCGAGTCTGTCCTAACTCATAGTGGCCCTGTATGACAGAGTGCAGCTGGCCGAGCGGGCTTCTTTGGCTGAAACATTGAGGAGTGAGCAGGTCATCAGGTCTCCTGTCGAATGACTTCAGGGTTCGAACCAGCAACTTTTGATCAGCAGCTGAGAGCTCTTAACCATTGCACATCTAGGGCTCCTGAAGCAAACATTCAAAAGCAAAACCAAATCAAACATATTGCCATTGATTACAAATTATATAATCACCCCATAAGATAGAGTAGAATGACCCCATAGGGTTTCAGTGGTTCAGACCTAGTAGCAGCTTACTGGGAAACAGATGAGACTGTTGGCTCCGTAAGGATTGACAGCCTAGGAAATCCAGGGAGCAGTTCCACCCAGTCCTATAGGCTTCGCCGTAAGTCGGGATTGATTTGACAGCAGCGGGCGTTTTAGTGCTGGTTTCCCATTCTCTGTTAGGTTGAAGGATCCTCCCCCTGCCTACCCTGTGACTTCCTTAATGTGACACAGGTGTAGCCTAAGGAGCTATTGACTTCATACAGGTGTAGGTAGAGGTGTGAGACCATTTCAACCCACTTTATCTCTTAGCTTAGTTCTCATCCTTTTAAAAGTATAAGTCTTTTTAATTCGAGCTTTCTCTTTTTATATCCAGGGTAAGTGACTAGATCCTACTCTTTTTTTTTTTTTAATTCGGTAAACCAGAGCTTAAATCCACTAGTTTATAATGACGAATGCAACTCTCATAGGATTCATGTGTTCCTTTCCTGCATTCAGATTGTCTTGAGTAATTAAATATTACTCTGTACCAGGTTATAGTGTAGGCACAGGGAAAATAATGGTGGACAAGGCAGGTAACTGATGCTAAGGAATTTCTGCCCTTTGGATCCATTCTTTAGTTTCGGTGATTGCTTAGTAAATACGGGATGCATACGAGGGGCGTTGGCTGTGGGGTTCAGCTCTTTGTTTCAATCATGTGATGGAGCCTACTTTCTTCCATTTCTGTAGTAGGGCCCTATCTGCAATCAAACAAGACAAGAGTACATGCATCTTTTTTCTCCCCAAGGATTTTCAGTGTAACATTTTATATCTTACTCATGCCCGTTGAATCAGTGGGATGGGGACCCTGAGCTCTACCTGCTCATTTTGGGCTGCCGCCTCCTTCCACCCTAGGTCACCAAGCCTGGTCTCCAAGGCCACCACAGAAGGGGAAGAGAGATGGAGCACTTGCCTGGATTTGTGGATTTGAACCTGGTCACTTGCACTCATGTTCTGTTGACCTTACCTCAGTCACATGGCACCATACAAAGAAGTTAGGAACTGTAGTCCCATATGTCCACGAGGAAAAGCACATCGGTTTTATGAGCATCTAGAATTTTCTCTCTCTGAGTCTGCTCTTCTGGGGACCAAATAGCCATGTTTCACTGTTCATCTCAGACAGAGAAGGGAAAGAGTTCATGCCTCATCCTTCAGTCATTGCATCTGAAGTCCGGGATCTCCATGCCATGTGGGGTCCTCCTCAGTAGGTCTGCGTGTATCTTCATCAGGCTGGTGACTTAGGAGTCACCACTCCTTCTCCCCAGCGAAGTGTTGGATTGAGTTTGGCGATTTTACTCATTTCTCTCATTCCTGAGCACTTGTGATGGCCAACAACCTTGTCCGTCTTGACCGCACTCTCCCCAGCTGGTTTCATTGTGGCTTGTGCTTCTCTCTATGCGTCAACGTCACCCCGGACAGATGTCCTGGAGAACCTGATGGAGGCCTCGCAGCGAGATTCCAGTGCTCCGGGCCGGTTCCATGTAGGTAGTGCGGAGTCCATGCTGCACGTCCGGCCTGGTGGATACACACCCCAGCGGGCGCTGATTAACCCCTTCGCCCCCTCGAGAATGCCGATGAAACTGACTTCCAACAGAAGGCGCTGGATGCACACCTTCCCTGTGGGTAAGTTGGCGGCTAAGAAAAAAGCCTAGACCAGGAGCATCGAAGCCTGGTTCTCAGCACCAATGAGCCACAGATTCGTGGTGAAGTATTTCAGCTTCTCGGAGCCTCTGTTGCCCCAACCGTTTTGCCTGTCCCAGGGGCGTTAGGAGAATCTGTGAAGACATACGGCAATTAGGAATAGCTTTGTAACCATAATTAGCCGTGTGAACCCAATGACTGTTTCTTTATTTGCTGCCTACGTAGTTACTTAGTTTCCTCATCCTTGTTTGTTCCTTCCTTTCTGAGCTGTCTTTAGATATTGATAATTGTTGTCTTGGTTACACAAAATTTAAAAAAAAATTCTCTTTCAGGTGTCTCTGACAACTGAAATAACATCCCCCAAATTACCCCCAAATGTACTCTTCTTCCTGGTTCATCTTTAAAAAATATATATGTATATATATGCCCTAAACGAGATGGCATCGAGGTTTTATAAAGCTGTGGCTAAAATTAAACTTCAGCTTAAAAGACTGGTGCTGGACTGGGAAAGAGCAGATGCATTAAACACTGACGTTTCGTGAGTGGGAACGTCCTGCTGGCTGCCTGGAAATCTCCAGTGGTTTTCCTCTGAACATGCTGTCAGGGTTTCAAGGTTAAGTACTTGAGAAATGAACCTGGTTCAGTTGGTTATAGGTAAGGATTATTCCTAAACTCCCTTTCTCTGCCATCACCACTACATGTTTAGTACAGTCCTGTACTAAAAGGCTGCCCCTTCACCTTCTGCGCTTCCACTGTGCCTCTGCTCATCTTCGCGCCCATCTCCCCACAGTGACAAAAACGGTATTCTCCTGAATTCTGCTGTCTTGGGTCTACACTCCTACTTATCTGGCCTTCGAAGCACGAAGGCCCTCCTGTGCGAGCCTCCCCAACTTTCTGTGCTCTTGTTCTTTTCCTCAGAGGCCTTTCTCTTGCCCAAGCTAATCTTGTGGTCTCCCGCCCACGTTTTGCCTTTCCTATGCGTGAAATTTTATTTCTTCTACCTCGACTGCCCTCTGCTTAAATGACTGCTACCTGCGTTCAGCAATCAGCTTGAAGCATTCTCTTTTGCTTGGAAGCCTTTTTCATTCGATTGACTAATTCTGGTTTAGCTTCAGCTTTTGCAAACCTGCTGCTTCAGAGGGTCGTGGTCGTTACTGTCCGGGAGGTGTTTTCTTCGTGTTTCCTTTCTCGGTTAGTTGGTGTTCACCCTCCTGGGAAAGGCCCCGCTTCCCCTTCTGCTCTCTCCATGACGCTTCAGCTCTTACATTGAAGAAGATGACAGATCATCCGGATGATTCCCTTTGGCAGGAGAGGTGTCCTCTGATCCTGCGTAACGTGTTCCTCCGGGCTGTGCTCATCTCTTAATCTCTTACATACCTATGCCACAGAAGCGTTAGAAAAAGGAAGATTGGAATTAAGTGTACAACATTAGCTGTTGGATGGGAATGATGCTCAGCGGATCTTTGTCTGGATAGGACCCTCCGGAGAGGCCATCCAGATCCATCACCAGACCCGGCAGAACATGGTGGAGCTGCAGGGCAGCGGGCAGAGAGACCCAATCCACTCCTCTGCAGAGCTGCTGGAGCTAGCATATCACGAAGCTGCCGGAAGGTGAGGCTGTGCACAGGGCTCCAGGAGGTACCTTGAGAACACTTTCTGGCACCCAAGACAGTATACAGCACTGCTGCCAAAATGTCCTGCTGATAAAGACTTGACAGTATGAGATCAGGCCTTCCCTTTGTTAGTTAGCTTCTTTTCCTTCATTGGCAAAGTATACAGCGAACTGCTTGGCATTATTGTTTGAGCTGTTACCTAGGCCCTGGTTCAGGTTTAATTTGAATCCAGTGCCCACTTTGTAAACCTCAAGCATAGGTTTCTTTAAAACTCCATTCAGTGGTGACCATGAGGAAATATTTTGGCCATGGCACCTGAGACAGGTGCTGACAAGTGCTGTTTGTTTCAGGCAGCCTCTCTTTCATTGGTCACTGAGAAATTCTACTGTTGAGTTTAGAAGACGTTAATATTAACAGCAATGTGGAAATCAAGACTTGCGCTTCCAGAGACAACTCTTTCATGACACCAGAGCTCTGGAAGTATTAGAGGCACCCAAAGAGAGTCATATAGGGAAAGAGTCATCTCTGCTCTGACAAGCCTGGGCTCACTGTTCCTGTGGCTCTTTGCAAGGAGCTATCTCTGAGCCCTTTTTAAATCGCCTTGACATCATGAGAGATGTGTGAGGGGTTGGGGGGCAGGACCAGCCCTCTCTACCTCTGTTGAATCACCTGACATCTTCCTCCTCTGAGTTTGCGTAAGGCAGAGATGTAGGACAGGAAGACCAGGGGTCTACCAAGGCAATGGGAAAGCAGGGGGAGTCCTGCAACCTGCTGACCTTTGACATGGATCCCAGTGGCCAAAGAAACCAAATCTTGATGTCCGTGCTTGGTGTCCAGGGGGAGCAGGATGAAAAAGGTGATGCTCGTCATTAAGCCAGGTGGCTGGGCTCTGTTCTTTGCAGGCACAGCACTTCCCGCCAGTCTGGTGACAACATGTCCTTCTTGAACTTCAGTGGAACAGAAGCGCTCTCTGTCAGCCTGCTTAGCAACAGCTGTGCAGGTAACCAACTTGAGAGGTAATAGAGTTGGGGTGCTCCAAGCAGGCTTACATCTAGGAACCACATGAGAGCCAGAAAGCACAGGACCATGCTGTATTTGGGGATTGTTTCTATACTAATTTTGGGTGGCCCATTTTAGAAGCGGTGCTGTATAATGCATGGGATTATAAATGGGCTGTCCAGTACATTTTTAGCCTAGAACGTGTTGGTCAGGCCACATTTGTCATTGACTTGTCAGCGACTCCAGATGAAGCGATGACCCTGGGGTGGGACAGGAGTAATCTCTAACTTTAGAGGAACTGACACTGGCAGCAGAGGCAACACAGCCCCATAGAGACAGGAGACACCTTTGGGGAATTGTGTGGTTCTGGCTATGAGATCATAAACAAGAAGAGGGTTGGGTGAGAGTGGCAGAGCAGCTTTGAGAAGTGGGCATACATCTCAGCCTTTCAGAGGTATGATTTGGTTAGGTAGAGAGAGGGTCAGGGGAACGTCTGGAAGCATTTTTTAGTTTTTATCCTATTGTTCTTTTTACATATTTATATCATAAAGTATTATAGCATATTTTGTATCATGTTTTACATGGGGTGACTTCACACCCACAGTTGTAGACATAGGAAACTAATTTCTCAAGCCAGCTGTCAGGTAACCTGACTCAGACAATAAGAGTAATGTATTGATTTTTAAATGTAAAGCCAGTAAAATTCACTCTCTTTGGTTCCTCGTCTGATGGCACTTTTCAGGGTACAGCGAAACATTTAGTGTGGATGGGTGGAGGTAGATTTTTGGAGCATTTTCAAGGGTAGGCATTCTACCAGTAAGTGTGGAAATCATTAAAACTGGGCCTATTACTTTCTGCTTTAGTGTTCTTATTCTTTCTTTCCTAGTGATTCATAAGCTGACTTGGGTTTCCAAACCTTCAGAAGGGTGGGATGAAAGGGACGTTGTGGAGGATTAGTTAATCAAGTTCCCTTCAGCCATGGATAGATCCATTTGATAATTTTCCTGGAGCCCTTTGGTTAAGGCTTGGCAAGTAGGTTGGCAGTAGAAGATTCCCTACAGAATTATTCATTCTCAATACAGAAAAATTGAATACAAATAGAGAGTGTGTAAGACGCTTTGTACCTTCTCTCAAAGAATGTGAAAATATTGCCTGGTCTTAGGACTCTTTTAAAGTGCCTCTAGAATATTATAAAAACAACATTTTTATTGTTTTCCTAAGCCAGGGAGCTATTTTTAAAATTTGTTTTTTAGAAACCCCTAGTTGGAGGCTCCCAGGTGTTGAGGGTAGAGTCGCACCAAAGAGGGTGATACTGGGGATTGCTTGAATAAGTGAGCTAGGTTCACTGTTGGCTGTAACAAGAACAATGCTTGCAGTGCTGGGAATGCCCCAGAGTGGTTCTTGGCCTTGGGTTGCTTAGGCAGCCTAGATGATTACCCATAAGGTGATTTTTTTCCCTTTCAATTTTAAAATCTCTTCTGGGGAAAGAGGGAGGTTTCCAAGAATTCTCATTTAAGGATATCTGCAAGATCATCAAATGACACTAGTCCTTTGAGCTAACACCCCCTCCATCCTACCCCACCCCACCCAGCAAACCCCAGCCTGGATATCTGGAGATCTCGCTTAGCCTTTCTCTCTGTTAAGCTCCTGAGCTCTAGATACATTTAGCTGATGGAACACTTCATTTGCAAGACCCCAGGTACCATTTTCTCATTGACAGCACAAGTACCTTATCCTTACTGGCATTGCAACTTGTCTCCCTGTTTCCCAACCCCCACCCTGCCTCTTCTTTTCTTTATTCATTGACAGCTCATTCCCATTCTCCTGCCATTGCCTTTGTTTATACCCCTGTGTTTCCTGGCCGGCACCGTTATAGTAAGTAGCCTTAAAAGTGATCTTCCCATCGTTTTGTCCTCTCCGAGTCATGCTCCACACTGCCGTAGTTGAGATATTTCCAAATCAAGTCTGATCAGCCAATCCGTTCCACATGTAAAATCGTCAGTGTTTTACACTGATTATAATGCTGCATGTCATCTGGCTCCTGCTTGCATCTCTGGCTTCATCTGCCTCCACTTTACTGCCCGTGGAAAGAGAGCAGGCTGGACAATCTTAGGAGGTGAGTCCTAGTGCCACTTCTACCATCTGTAAAGCCTTTGGGCCAGTTACCTAACATCTGTGTAGCTCAGTTTCTGCATCTGGGAGGAGAATTGTTGTGTTAAATGTGATGATCCCTGTACAGTACTTAGAACGGCCCGCCACCTGGGGTGCGTGCTCTACAAATGTGAACTTTCTAGGTCTTTGTGATTCGAACGGAATGTGACTGCTGCTTTAGTGGTTCATGTCTCTTCCGCACACGCTCCCGGGAGCTGTTTCTATGAACCTCTTTGTGCAACTTGGCACACTGTGAGCTCATTGTTTCAATCTCTGTCCTCCCGCTAGACCAGTGTTTCCCAAAGTGGGCACTGAATGATCCAGTGCAGGGGCTGCAAAACCAGATCCAAGACAACCGAATTCACTGCCAGCGAGTTCATGTCAACTCATAGTGAAATGAACCCTATAGAACAGGGTAGGAGTGCCCCTGTGGGTTTCCAAGACTAGCTCTTTACTGTAGTAGAAAGCCCCGGCTGGTACTTTCAAACTGCTGACTTTGCAATTAGCAGCCCAAAGCACAACCCGCTCCCCACCAGGCCTTCCGAAGCAAAAAAGCAGATGCCTACACTTTATCCTGGATTATAGGTGTATAGAAAATTTTCATTGGTAGGGGATCTTAAGTGGTTTTTGTTGTTGTTGTTACTGAAAAAGGTGTGGTGGGCCAAATAAGTTTTGGAACCTATGCTGTAGACCAGGGGTCGGCAAACTGCAGCTCAAGAGCCCTATGTGGCTCTTTCCAGAATGTACATGTGGCTCTGAAGTAAAATTGAAAATGGACATAAAACTATCATAATTTCATTTTCAGATAATGATTATTTCATTTGTTTGTGAATATATATTGATGGCTCTCAAATAATTTTTAAATTGTTGTGAGGGACAGGATTGGCACTTCTTTCCCAAAAGTTAGTTTGCTGATCTCTGCTCTAGACTGAAGGAGATTATCTTTAGTTTATGGCTAAAGTGCTTTTTACTTTTATTGACAAATGTATTTTATACTTCCAGAACTAAGCTGCTACATGCAAAAAAGGATTCAGTTAACCCACAAAATATCATGTTTGATTGGTATGCAAATGTCCAGTTACATAAATATATCAGAATAAGTAGCTTCTTGAGGTGTGGGCTGCTTGAGCTGTCTTTCTAGTTATAATTAAGCGGCATCATTCTGACCCTTGGCCAGTGCCCTTATGACCAGTAGCATATGTTTTCATGGGGTGAACAGGCTATAGTCTGTAGTAATTCTCATGTGGGGATCAAATTTCCAGTATCCTACCGGCTCTAATAGGGCTACCTGATCACTGTTAACCAGCCACAGAAGAAAGTAGACCAAAAAATTATTCTAATTTCATTACTACCTGGCAATATCCAGTGAATGAGCGCAATGTGTCAGATCTGTCTTGCAGATATCGCCAGAATCTGGTCATATCTCATCACCTCTACTAGTCCTACCTAGTCCAGAGCACTCATCTTTTGCTTCTCTTGTTATAGTGCCTGTTAACGTGTCTCTAGATTTCCCCTTGCCTTTTCACGTGGTTTATTCTCAACATAGCAATTCAGAGTATTCCTCAGGTCATATAAGTTCTCCGTGCTAAACTATCCAAGGGCTTTATAGTCACTCTTTTTTAAAAAAGAGCACATTTACTAGTCTTAAATGGGACAAGTATAAGACAAAGACATATTATCCCGGTGAGGGCGATCATTAGCACGAGATCGTAATGGTGTCTAAGGGTTTGCTGATATACAGAGATTTAAAAGGGGTAGTGGGAAGAGATCAAGGAAAATGATCACAAATGCATGGTTGGTGGCAGATCAATACATCGAAGTTACAGGTAGGTTTACTGGAGTGAAAATGAGGCCATAATTGGAACACGTACATGGAGGAGCTTACAAGACTGGTCCAGGGGGCCTTCCCAAGGCAGTCAGGGCATGACTCTTGACTATGCAACCCCTCCTGTGTTAATTTCTATCAAGGACACACCCAGGTAAGCCCCCAAGGGAGACTGTGCCTCTTCCAGGGCTGGTCAGGAGGGTGGAAATAACCCATTTTACAATGCAGTCTTTCTGGTGGCAAGATTATTCACATCCCTAGGTGATAACCAGAGGGAATTCGATGGAGTTTTAATCTACCTGGGGATTTTGTAAATGGATTTTGACCTTCCACTGTCGTCCATAGCCTTCTGCAAACTGGGTACCGTAGTCAGAATTTAAACTATAATACAATTCCCTACCCCTGATTATGGGTTTTATTTACAATCCTTGGATCACACAGATGGGTTTGCTTCTCCAGTGTGGACCTAGTTGACACCTCACTTAGATGACACTTGCTTCTAATTTACTGTTAGAAGCCAAAGACATTACCACAGCCAACAGAACCCCCTTTTTCATGTGGCCCCTTATTAGCTTCCAAACCTTATCTCTTCTTCCCTCTAATTTCACTCTAACAATTCCCCAGACTTATAAAACATCACCTGAATCTCAGTCTTTCTCTATCACCTCTGCAATATTGCTTTTACCCTAGAGAGTTTTATAGCTAAAGTATCCATATATCTGGGTTTCCCCAAGAGAGCCTTGGCTTGAGTTTATTGTTCTGTAAAATTATTAATAATGTCACCTTTCACTTCCAAAGCGAATGCAAAGCCCTGAACTGAATAGTAAATACATGACATTGGCTCCCTGTTCACAGCTTGCTTTTCACTTCCTTCAGTTCATACCTAAATTCTAATGCCCTGTTCTGGTGCTCCCACCATCTTTCTTGCCTAATAGTTTTCATAGCACATATCTCCATCAGACATAGTAGATTTTAAAATTTTATTGCAAGCTCCAGGAGGGCAAGGACTTTGGCTTTGTTATAGA